CTTGATTATTATCGATGATTATCCATTAAAAACCTATATTTCCTAATTATACATTACATTTTTAAAATGAACTACACAATCATAATACCTTATTCAATATCAGATATACATATACACATAACAAAATTGACCTTAAAATCCATACCAATGCAAATTATTTATATCTATATCGTATCCCCCTTTAAATGTAAAAGAACACATGTAAACAATATTTGGGAATATGGACGTAGTTATTTCTCTCCAAACTTTTTTCTGTTGTATAGGGGCGCTGTTAATCAGGTCTTTTATGGTAAAACCTGTGTGCTAGGTTCATCTCAGTTGGCAGTTAAATGAAGTAATTTTTTGAGGGTGTTCATAGCAACCTTTTAGGAGGGCGTGGTCTATCATACCATATTGGGATAGAAGCAATCCACAGGGTTTCATCCTCTGTGAAAACAAAAGAAGAACCTCCTTTTCAAAGTATCATATCATTAGATCCAAATTTTGAAGTCATAATACCCTTATGATATCCATTCTGGTTTAGTGTGGCAGCCCATATAATGAAATGTCTCTCTGTACTTTGCTCCTTTACAGTCAAAAGATTTAAAGATAACACAATGTACATAATCCAGACTCTCTGTGAAATTTTTATTTTTACGTGGCTTATTTTTATTTATTTTTTAATCTATAACTATCTGTACTCTGTCTCTTTAAAGGCTTTACTTTTTTTAAGGCATTAACAGTATTTTTTTATTTTTTTTTCTTCTCTCTCCCAAGCCTATGTACAGTCATCCAACATTGTGACCCATTTAGAGGTCTTTTATGTCTGAATCTGTCCTATTGTGAATCTGTAATTTTTTTATTGTTTAGGAGCAGTTCTTAAAATGCTAAGCACTTTTTAAAAACTTTAGCTTGTGCCGCATAGGGGTAATATGGTACCACCTGTTTTCTGCCCAGTTGATAATTACAACCGTTTCTGCCTGAGGTCAGCACAGTTTAGCGTGGCAGGGTGGAGCCAGAGCCGCTCCAACCTCAGAGCAGCACACAGTTCCAGGCACACAGCAGGTCCACATTGGAGCCGCACTCAACAGTTTAACTCTGAGACTGAGCGTGCAGCACAGAAACTCTTTTCATCCAAGTTACAGCCAAATCTGAGATGCAGAGCAATGCACAGCCTGCAAACATCTCTCTGTATGGTGGCAGAAATCCTCCATGCTCTCCCGTCTGCCTAAGCCTGGTCCCGCAGTCTGCCCAGGTGGGGAGACCAGGCATGGCCTCACAGTATTTTTCTCTCGATCCCGAGGCTGAGCAGGAACATAAACATCTGGGCCTAGAAATGCTCAATAGCCGGAGTTTGCACCAGCGGCAGGGTCCAGGCAGGACCCAGGAAGACGCCTTTTGTAAACAGGCAGTTTTTTGTGTTTTTTTTTTTGTTTTTTTTTTAGGGCTGCTGAGTCAGGAAATTCTCTCTGCCGCATGCCGCCAACAAACAGCAAAAAGCTGTGTTAAACTCTCTTTTTCTTTTTTTTTAAAGCTCTCTCAGAATTTTAAGTGTATTTAGTTACCACGTTGGGTGCCACTCTGTAGTAGAAGCAGCAGGCTGCTTTCTGCCGCCCATCCGGCTAGCTTTACCTGAAATAATTACATGAAAACTGTATTCTTTTAAACACTGCTTGGCCCATTGTCTTCAGCCCCTTATTGGCTAACTCTCACATCTTGATTAACCCATTTCTAATAATCTGTGTAGCACCACGAGGTGGTGGCTTACCGGGAGGATTCTAACCTGTGGCTGTCTTGGAGAGGAGAGTCATGGAGACTACCTCACTTCCCTTCTTCCCAGCCTTCTGTTCTGTCTACTCCACCCACCTATGTTCTGACCCATCAGGCCAAGCAGTTTCTTTCTAAATTAGCCAATGAAAGCAACAGAAATACATAAGACTCTCCTACATCATCAGAAGCCCACAGAGAAGACCAGATACAATAAATAGGATTATTCCATAGTGGAGGCCTTTTTGGATGGTGGGTGTGTGGTGTCCTTGGTAGGTGCCTTCTCGGATAATACCTCATCATCATTGTTGTACGGTGAGGGTATCTGTTAATAAGTCTAAAGACAGGAGGGTGAATAAGTTGTAGTAAAATCCTATTACCAAGCCAGAGGTTAGTAGAGGGCAGAAAATGCTCCATAAGAGGTTTGCGGCTCACGAAGATGCTGGTTGTTCCTGCTGCTCATGTGCCGGCTCGTGAAGGTGCAGGGCTGTTATGTTCTGGCTTCATGATCATGGTTGCTTCTAATTGTGGCTGTTTCCTAAATGTGCATCTCAATCTTCCTCGTACCCCAACACCGATGGGAAGTGTGGGAAGTGTGTCCTGGAGCTGACAGCCAAAGCATAGCTTCTCTCTTTGGCCGGAAGTGACCTGCTGTGCAAGGGGCAGCAAGGGCATTCAAGTTCTTCAATGTGACTTTAAAAGGCACTTTGGAAAGCTCAGCCTGCTTCTCTGGCCTTTCCAACAATGGCATGGGCCCTTTGTCACCTTCCCACATTGCCTTCCACGTACACGGAAGAAAGAGGAGTTGGTTCGCTGCAGCCGAGTCCTGACCAGGACAAAGCTCCTGAGAGGCCTGTTAAAGGCCATCTGGAGCTTCCACAGTATGGTGTGAGGATAGAAGGGCCACATCAGAAAAGCACTTGGGAGGTAAAATTAGCAGTCCTTGGTGATTAATTGGATGTCAGAGATGGAAAGTAGCAGAGAAGTAATTGCTAGGATGAGTCATGTCTCTGTGCAAAGAACGCAGACTGAATATCTGGGGAGCAGCAAGCTTGGGGAAGCAAAATGATAAGTTTCGGGGCCCAAAGGTATCCGAGAAATTTCACTCCCTTTTCAAAGAAAAGCAACTAACTTCGCAATTGTCTCCTTCCTCCCCGAATCTGTGAAGTCCTTGAGCAGACACATCTGTCTGTTCCTGCCTGGGATGCACGACTCTGTTCTGACAGTCCCTGGCCCAGTGCAGTTTAGGTGCTTGATAGGCATTTGCTGAATGTGGAATAAGCAAGTCGGATAATAAAAATTATCGTGATCGCTTTCCTCGTTAGCTGGATGAGTGGTGTCTTGAACTGCTGCTGGAGACGGCGATTAAACACTCGGCGAGATTATGTTTTGATGATGATGATGATGGTGATGGTGATGGATCGGGGAGAAAATATGTCTCCAGCTGGGAACTGGAGCCAGAGGTGAGTGAGTCTCCCAGCGTCTCCCCACACAGGCAGACTGGCCAGAGTCCCCTAACTTCTATTCGTTGTTCTTCTGTTACACATATGCATCAGGTGACAATCATCTCGTGGTCTATTCGGAAGTGTGCCCAGGTGTTTTGCAAATGGAACGACTTCTGCTGATCTGTCATACGCAGTTACCAACCCCTTATATTACAGCCAAGGCTGACTATTGAACTCCGGGTAAGGCAGGCCTGCAGCCAGACTGATTCCTTGCAGCCGCTCCAGGGGTACCCAAACCTGATCATTACCGGCGACGTAGTGATTAAACTGGGTTATAATTGGAGCTGACTTTACCTAGCTGGTTTTACCCACGCCTTTTGCACGGCAGGTTTGCTATGCATGCTGTCACCTTCTAAGCATGTGCACAAGGAATAATCCTGAGACTATCAGACACAGTGCCCTATCCCCAAACAAATGCTTACTATGTTCCCTGTGGTGATTTGGATGAGAATGGCCCCCGTAAGTTCTTATGATTGAATACTTGAGTCCAAGTTGGTGGACTCATTCGGGAAGGACTAGGAGGTGTGACCTTGTTGGAGGAGTTGTGCCACTGGGGGGGGGGGGTGGGCTTTGAGGTTTCAAAAGCCCATACCTTTCCTACTTTGCTCTCGCTGTCTCATGTTAGTAGGTCAGGATATAAACTCTCAGTTTCTGCTCCAGCACCAAGCCTGCTTGCTGCTATGCTCCCAACATGACTCACCGTCTGAACCTGTAAGACCCAAAGAAACTCTTCTAACCATTGCCTTGGTTATGGTGTCTTTTCACAGCAGTAGAAAACTGACGAACACACTCCCCAACCTTCTGACATGAACCCCACATGTGCACTTATAATTCAAACAAGTGGCTTACCCAGCTACTGTTTAAGAGAACCAAAGGGACAGTAACTTCCAGGGGAATGACACAGACCTCAGTACACATGCGGCCACATTCCTAGGCCTAGAGGAGTGCTCATATGCTCGTATCCAAGTGACACCCCACGAACGTGATAGCCATAAGTATGGATGAGCACAGCCCAATAGCAAAATATCCTCCAAGCCAAATAAAAAACTGTCTCCCCTTGATTTACAGAGTGCTTATATGTTGACCCCAAAATAAACTTAACTTCCTGAACAAATAAAACCTCCGACTTTGTGTTGCGGGCTCAGAGGATTAAAGACAGACTTTTGGTCAAATTACTATCCCGAAGGACAGACCTGTGTGGGATGTGTTTCTTCATCCTGGGGACTGTCCTGAGCAGTGGTCCCCCAGCACCCAGTGACCATGACCCCTGGAGAACTGTTTTCTCAGGTCTTCATGTACCTCTCGGGAGTTCTGACACCCCGCTTCATAAAAGCCATGTAATTCCACATTGCAGCCCAGGTGCCACTTCACTGAGCTGTCAACTTAGGGAAAACATGGCACTAAAGGGACAGGAGTTAGGACACCGAGGACAGCAGGAACCCCATAACTTAGCCAAAAGGTGACGTATTAGGAATCTGTCCTATGAATCTATTTGCTGGGGTTCACTGCCATTTGTCTCATAAGCAAACAACAACAGGAGATCAACCATCTCCAACTCTTTCTATCTCACCGAGCTCATGGCAAACAGTGAGCCAAAGCTGGAGAAAGCTTTTCACAACAAGAAAGAAAATGTGTGTTGTCGTAGGCAAGAGACACCTGGGGAGTTATCTGCTATCCTAACCGACCTTGATAGATACAGGTTCATCTCCACAATAAGTTTCCCTTCACCCTTCTGGTGACACACCTTTTTCCTTGGTGGTCTCTCACTTCAAACTCTACCTTTGGTTCCTATGGCCCCAAGATGTGATGAGTAGCGATTCTGGGCCTTGCTGTGGGGACTCATCTGTCAAAAGGCTGGTGGCTGAGACTCTCTGGAATAGATTACCACAAACAAGATAAAAGCATGCAAGTTGATTTTCATGTAAGTTTGATACTGCATTGGAACCTTCAGAAACCAGGAACCCAGGAAAAGGAGAAGAACCCATACATGGTGTCCCCAGCAGGGGTTACAGCATTGTCTCCCATGAAACCAAATGTCTGCACACAACCCTGACTCCCTTCAACAATAACAAGGGGTCTCGAAGCCATTACCCTTCTACCCCTTGCAGCTGATGACAGCCCCGTCTCTCTAATTCTGTTTGTGTTTCTCCTGACCATGAATTATGTCATTATTATGGCTTTTAAGCATTTGTGTGAACAAGTTCTGATAGATTTGGATTTTGTTTTTGGTAGTTCTGAGAATTTAATCCGAGTCCTCATGAAAGCTCCATCTCTGAGCTGCTCCTGAGCCTCCAGGATATTTCTGTTTTTATATTCGTGTGCATTATTGAAAGTAAATGATGCAATAGGCTATTATCTCTAAATATGTATTCATGACCTATTCATCGCTTTCTTAAGTTTTTGTATTTCTAGGCTATATGACTTATCTGTAAGGTTTTAAATCTAATCCTCTCTCCCTCCAAGTTTTCTGCCTGTGCGTGCACACAAACAGTTCTGGGCCTTGTTGCTCCAGAGTCACCTGTATTTGTTTCCAAAGAAAAGTCATTCTGTGACAATGTATTGGTTTTTATTTTATTATGTATGTGTGTGCATTCCTGTGTCGTGTGTTGGGTATCTGTGGAGGACAGAAAAGAACATCAGATTCCCTGGAGCTAGAGTTACAAGCAGTTGTGGGCTGTCTGAAGTGGGTGCTAGAAACCCAGCCCAGGCCCTTGGCGTTAGCCATGTGGCTAACCCACTAGGCCCTTGGCGTTAGCCATGTGGCTCTCATAACCATGGAGCCCTCTCTCCTACCTGGGCCACCGGGGGTCATCTGTATTCTTATGGATGCTTGCATCAAAGTAGGATTGGACGACCAAAGCGCAGCCTGGGTGGAACTGAGCAATAACTATTTCCCCACAAGCATCTTCATTACCAGGTATGGGATATCCACAGGTATAGGATAGAATATCTGCCCCCTGAGGGTTTTCAGAAGGTGACCTATCTGCTGTTTTCTGCAATGTAAAGTTCCACATTTGAGGCTTGCATATCACTACTGTGGTTGACCAAATACCTCTAGAATGTGACATCAAGCATGAGCTTTCTTGAAAGCTGACTTTCGCCAAGGTTGCAAGTTGGATGACCTAGAGTCTAAGCAAGTACTAAAATTTCCTACGAGGCAGAAGACAGAGCCTGGAAAATAGCCCACAAGGACTAAATGGTCTTATCTCCTTAAAGACAGGATTATTGAGAGACAGTAGGCAGGTAGCACAACAAGACAAGATCTCCTTGGCTTGTAACTAGTTAAGGGTAGTAGCTTCCAGTCAGGTTCAAGCAGTATGATATGAGATTTTACATCACTATGTGACCTACATAGTCTTGGGGTGAACAGAGCCATGAAAATACAGTTGGAACTGACTGGCTGGAGTAATATCTGACTTTTAGGAAGGACTGTGTATCCTTGAGTAGGTTGTCAACTTCCCTGAGCCTCAGCTTATTAATCTGTAAAATGGAAAAAATAGAAACAAGCAGGTCTCTGGGTTGTAAATGCTGTTACCTACCCTTGGTTCTCTAAGTCGGAAGCAGTATGGTCAAGCTTTGTATGTCAAGGAACTCTAGTAGGCTTACAGTCTTTAGACACTGCTATAGAAAGGAAATCACATTCGTGCTGTTTTTAATTTTTAAAATTATGTTTTCCTTTTCATTGATACAGTTTTGTTTAAAACAAAACCAAGATTTCTCCCCCATCTTTGAATCGACATGAGAACTATTTTGAGAAGTGAGGGAAGCAAGAAAATTGCAGTTTGTCTTGAATAATATATTCTGTAGAGAAAAACATAGCAATTAAAAATATCATTTGACCTTTCTATATCCTAGTACTTAAAACATCAATGATATTTTTAATTCCTATGCTTTCCTCTACAGAATATAGCATTCTCTTTCACTGATGTGTAGTATTCCATTGTACATGGTACTGTAATTTATTTATATAGCCCCATCAATATTTGGGTCATTTCCAGTCTGTTCCCATGACATGGTTAGGATGAACACACTCACACAAGTACCAGGTAAACTGAGCAGATTCCCAGAAGTGGGATTCCTGAGTGACTGGAATAATGTCTCCAGCATCTTGGGGGCTGTCTACAGGTTCTCCATGATGGAGGAGTATCATGTTGTATTCCCAGGGCATTGTGGGAGGATGCCCGCTTCCCACAACCAACTCACACAGCATGGAGACACACCTAGGGTGTGGGATGACCTAGGGACTCAGGAACCCTGTGTCGCTGTGCCTTTCCATTTGCAGTAGCCTCCTTGCCAGCAAGGCCGCGCTCCTTTCCATGTATTTAAGGATCATTTGCATTTTGCCTTCAATACCACGTCCTTGGCTCACTCTGTTCTATTAATTTTTTAACGCTCCTTATCACAGAGATTAATGAGCTGAAAATATTCTAACCTTTTTTCTTTTGTCTTTTTTTGTGATTTTGTAATTCTTTGGCAGAGCTAATAATTAGTGAAGGCATTTATTTAATAAGTAAATATATTGAATTCTACTTATAAATATATTTACTTGGTAAATATACTGGAAACATTAGAGTACGTTCAATACATAAATGTATTGAATATCTTAAAATGCATTTCATAAGTAAATACAGCGAGTGCTCTGCCAGCTGTTGATGATGGGAGTGAATAATTTAAGGGTCGTCCCTTGCAGTCGGGGCAGCTATAATTCTAGTTGGTATGAGGAATAAAAATAGCTCCTGACATTTGAATAGCCCTTTATCACTTATAAATCACTTTCACAGTGATTATTTTCGGTACCACAGATATATTTTTAAAGATCATATTTGTTAGGTTTTGACTTAGCAGTAGGGACAAAAAGCTTACAGTAGCGTTTCCTTAAGCAAAACACAACTTCCCTGTCCTGTGGAAGCCTAGTGCTGGTCTCCATGGGGCAGAAACACAAGTTCTCTACATCTGTGGAGATGTCATGGCCACTGTAGAGATGGCTGGGCAGAGGAGCAGGAAGATAAGAGACAAAGGTGCATGCTTACTGTCTCCGATAGACAGGTCCAGCTGTCACATGACCCGTCCATTGATGCCTAGAGGCTAGAACTCGAGTCACATGGCCACATCTAGCTGCAAGGGAGTTTAAGTCACTCGGGGTTGTCATGTGTCCCACCGAAAAGTGGTTGGAAAGATGATCCTATAACAGATGGAGGAGAAGGGTTACTAAGCTTCAACCAGAACCATCTGCCAGAAAAATAAACAGAAAAGGTGTCATCGTGCACCTTATGAAGGGGAAAATGGTACAGTGACCCCAGCCATCTGTGTCCAACTCCCTGACAGTAGGACGACAGGCATGCACCACCATACCTGACCTTCTTTTCATGGGGTCTGTGCTTTGAACTTAGGTCCCATGATTTAAAAGCAAATATTTTATCAAACAAACTGTACTTTACAATCCACTTTCCATACAATGAATCAGCGTTTCAAACCAACTTTGCATGCCCGGATAAACCCCACTTGGCTATGGTGAGTATTCTCCGTGATGTTCTTTTTCATTCAGCTTGCTGATTTGTTGAGGATCCTTCCCTCACGGAGTCCATCAGAGATGGTCACCAGTGCCTTGTTTCCTAATATCCTCTAGCTTTGGTACAGGGCAAGCCTGGCATCCCAAAATTAGTTTAGAAATGTTTCATTTTCCATTTTTGGAAGAGTTTGAAACGCTTAATATTCATTCTTTCAATTTTTGGTGAATCCAGCAGCAGTTAAGCCATGAAGTCCAGCGATCTTCTTCATTAGGAGACCTTGTATGGTTCCAATCAATGTTTTTTGTTCAGGTTTTCTGGTTCTTCCTGAAGCAATCTTTGTAAATTAGGTGTTTCTCATTATTTGTTTGTTTTAGATTATCTGTTTTGTTGACCTAGAATTGTTTATAGTAGTTTACGATCCTCGGTGTTTCTGTGGTATTGCAATGCTCCGTGTTATAATCGATTGCTTGTTTGTTTGTTTTTAAGTTTTATTGTGTAACCATTTTCTTCAAATGGAAACATTTCTTCCCAAAGGGAAAATGGACCTTCCTAAGACTTGGTAAGTAAGGAGAAGTTACAAAACTCAGAAAGTTACATAGAAAGAAGTTCCAGGAGACTGTCCCAGTGAACATCAGCAGAAGAGATTCTGGTGGAATTGGATACAGCTTGGCCAGGAAGTTCCTTGAATGCAGCTTTCTTGAGTAACAGTCACGATGGGGTCCACATGCTCCTCAAAGGAACTCCTGGCTCTTGTGCCAGTGTGTGACTTGAAAAACCCATTGGTTTACCAAGCTGGTCTTGGGTGGAATCACCATAGGCTGGTTCAACATGTGGATCTACAAATATGATATGGTCCTCGGCAGAATGAAAGAGAAAAATCTATGCATACCCCCTCTCCCTTCTTATAGGTGTGTGTTTGTGTATAAGCTTTTGGGAAATTTTGACATCCCTTTAATAACTACAAAAAGGAAAGAAAGAAAAAGAAAGCACTTTGGGTTCTTGGGTAAAGAATACTTTCTGTACAATAGGAGAACCTGAGTTTAAATCTACAGTAATGATGGAAAGCAAGGTACACATGTATCTGCCTTAACTCCAGTGATGAGGAGAAAGGAGGGCAGAGCCAAGAGGATCATTGAGGCTGTCTGGATGCTAAACAGTCTCCAGAATCAGTGAGAGACCCTGCCTCAAAGTAAGAAGGCAGAGAGTGGCCTATGTCCTTCCTATGTGTATCTCCATATACACTGCATATGCCACACATACATGCCAATAAAAATAAAATCAACAAATTGCATAAAGGAATTATATATTATATTTATATATTTAATTATATTTATTATATAATTATATATATTAGCACAATAAAGTTCATATTTAATATTGTAAAAGATTCCATTGTAACCAAAGCAATTGACAGATTCTATGCAGTCTTTATCAAAGTGACATTTTTCAGAGAAATAGAACAAACATCTCAAAATCATAAAGAAGCACAAAAGACCACTAACACCAAAGGTATTTGTGTTGTGGGATAATTTTCTTTTTGCACACTGTAAAGATGTGTCTCTGCCTAAGTCACCTGAATGGTTTAATAAAGAGATAAATGGTCAATAGTTAGACAAGAGAAGTTATACAGGACCTCTGGTGAGAGAGGTATTTTTAGACTGGTAATACATGTTATGGTAGAAAATGATTTAGATACAAAACTTTAGACTTACCAAGCTAGTATATATAATAGAGTACTTTCTCCAAAGTTGCCAAATACAAATAAACTGGACATTGTAAATGTAATTCTTACCTGATAATTGTTCTTTTTGTATATAGTTTTACTGTGTTAGAGTTAAAAGAAAAAAAAAAGAGAAATGTTAGTCATCTATTACACTCAATTTGTGGCCATGTTACATATGTTTTCAAGGTCAAACAGATGTGTTTTAGATCAATAGATAGTCTTCAAACACTTCAGAGACCTATAGCATATGACATTTGAGATGTTTTAATAACAAGATTTTTCATTACAGTGAGACACATCAGCTCTTGGCAGAATCAAAATACTTTAGGAAAGGATGATGGATGCCAAACATTGTTGAACTTTCTAGTGGGACCACCAGTCTCCAAATAATGACACAAAGATTTACTATTAATTATAAAAGCTTGGCCTTTAGCTTAGGCTTGTTAATAGCTAGCTCTTATAACTTAATTGGCCTGTTTTCTATTAATCTATGTTTTGTCACCTGGCTAGTTACCTATCTTCCATAATGTATGTCCTCAGTGTCTTATTGGTCTTTTGTGTGCCTAGATTCTTCCCCAGTTCCTCTTTCTCCCCAGAAATCCCACTTAACCTCTCTTGCTTAGAGATTGGCCATTCAGATTTTTATTAAACCATACAGGTGCCTTAAGCAGAGACACATCTTCACAGTGTACAAAAAGATCATTTCACAACATTTTCAGATTGGACAAGCAGGACACAAAAAAAAGGTGATTGCTGAATTTTACCAAGACAAGCAATGACAGTCCTTCAAAAAAAAGTCTGTTAGATATTATAGGCCTTGTTTGTTGAAGATGGATGCCCCACCACTGCAGAGGAACCTTGGGTGAATGTCCAGCCAGCCAGATGTCTCTGTCTTTTCTATAGTTTTGGAAGTTCCTGTTTACGCAGGTCATATACCCTTTCTGGGTCATTGATGAGGAGGGTTAATAGAGCCAGTTCTGGGAGGCAATATAATTTAGACTAGTATTTACCATGTGATCTAGCCATCACACTTTTGTGAGCACCCAAAAGAAATTAAGTCAATGTTCATTGCAGCATTATTCATAACAGTCAAATATGGAAATGATCTGTGGTTCTGCTCAGCCCTAGAAACGAAGGGAATCAAGTCATTTGAGGCAACATGGATGAGTACAGAAGGCATTGCTTTTAGTATACTTAGTGAGATGAGCCAGGCATGGAAAGACTAATACTGCATTATTCCCTTTACACGGGACATCCATAAGATTTTAACTGAGGGAAGTAGAGAGAAGAATGAGGTAAGGGTGGGAATATGGAGTAACAAAGGGATGGAAGTCCAAGTATTTCAGTCAAAAGCAAGAAGTTCAAGAGATCTTGTATAACACTGACCACATTGGTACTGTGTTCTTGAAAATTGAAGAGAATGAACTTCATGCTCCCCCTCCCACGCACACGTTCAAGTGTGCAAAGTAGTTATCTAGTCTAATTTAGTCATATCACAATGGATACATATTGACAACATCATGAGAAATAGATACAGATTTTTGATACAGTTTTTATTGGTCAATTAAAACAAATTAGAGAAAGAGACATCAAACAGACAGATATAGTTTCACAATTCCAGATCCAAAACAAGTGAGAACTTTTCAGAAGAAATTGAGATGTAAGAGTTAGCCAATAAGAAGCTAAAGCTATTAATGGGTCAAGGAATGGTTTAATTAATACAGTTCCATGTGATTATTTCGGTTCTGGGAGGATTTGACGAACAAGTGGCTCTTCGCAACAAATATTTCAGGTCTAAGCTAGGTGGGCGGCTGGGAACCAACAAGCAGCGTGCTACTACAGATTGGCAATTGATACCGTCCTGGAGAGGGAGAGGAACTTTTCCTTACTTTCCCCTTGGTTGACTCGACCTTGCTCTTATGTGACACCACACACCTGAGAATATATAGGCGGCACAAACTTGGACATCATGTGTGTTAAAAGAAAAGAGAATACAAAGTTGGGTGGGGGAAAGGAGCTGGGTCTGTGAGGACCTAGGAGAGGGGTTATATGATCAGAACTCATTATATGAAGTTCACAACAAACTAATAGAAATATTTCAAAATCCTAAATAAAAAGGATAATAATAACAATAATTTGTTTAATATGTGTACAATAAATGTTCTTGGTATGCAAGAGTCACTTATTTGGGGGGATTGTTAATGTGTAATATTTAATTTCATCTCTGTATTTTCTGACTGTGCTAATTCTATCCCTTTCATTCCTTTGTTATGCTACTGATATTTTAGTTTATATTCACGTGTTGGTGCTGTCAACTTTTAAGTATTACTTCCCCCTTCCAAGGGTGTAGAGAAAAAGCTTGTTATGCGCCATAAAAAATCCAAAGAGTCATGAACATGTAGCTGGTACAGTGTGACTTGCCTGTCAGAGAAGGTGCAAGAACTTAGAACGGGCTCCAGCCTTGCAGGCTTCCCAAGCAGCCCAACACTAGTTCTCAAGCATTCAAAAGGAGAAAATCAAGGCTTTAAATGGTTCAGGACTATTAATAGGCTTTTTACCTCCTGCCCCAGAACTCTACGGCTAACTATTACTTTCAAAGCTCTCCTAAGAATTGGAGGCCATCCCGCCAGAAGCACTGGTTCCCACCATATTGAGATTGTTTGCTTTCTGGTTCTGGCTGGTCCCTGCACATTTGTAAGGGAGTGAAGGATAGGAGTCAGCAGTAGAATAAACTGGAATGAAGCGCTAACCAAATTCAAGGGCATACTCATTTGCCTCCTGGAGGAAGTGGGGAAAGAGGGAGGGGGTAATTAACCAGAAACCAAGAAGAAATCCTCAGAAATTAAAAATAATATGATAGAGGGGCTCAGCAGTCAAGAACACTCACTGCTCTTCTGGAGAACCCCAGTTTGAGTCCCAGCATCTAGACCGGGTGACTCACAGCTGCCTGTGTCTTCAGGCTCCAGGGGCCCTGACACTTCTGGCCTCTGTGAACACCTGCATTTATATGCACACACCCACTTGCTGACTCATACATACATAATTAAAAACAAATCATTAAAAACCATGTTTCCAAAATTAGGAGAGCAATAGAAATGATGGAAGAAGAAGTTGAGGGGAAACTTTCAGAACACAGAGGGGACAGAAAATGGAAATGCAAAGGAAGGAAGCACAGACAACCATGGCTCTGGCTGTTGGGGGTCCAAAGAGAAAAGGAAAAATCAACAGGAATTCAAACCAAAGAGAATAGAGAAGAAAGAAGGCTGGAAGCTTTCAAAATACCAGTCGACCAAGTCCTTAACAAAGAAACCACATTCGGTGTACTGTGGAGTTTCAGAACCAAGGGACAGAATATTCTACAAGGTTTGAAAGAGAACTAAGTCCCTGGAAGGAAAGAGAATTCACAGCCACACTCCTGTGAAGGAAAACTATCTTTGAAAGTTCCGAGAAGAGATTGTTTGGAAACTACAATTCTCTATCAAAATAACAAGCATGTAAAAGGTAAGCAGATCAGAATTCAGACCCAATAGTGAAGAATGAGTTTATATTTGCAATTTCCGTCTCAAGAAGCCCAGTGTACAGACACCAGAAATACAAATTTAAACTCCCAGGAAAGGAAAACCTTTCTGATATGGGAGAAAACCTTTTTGATATAGGAGGTGATTAAATTTATCCAGGAAATTCCTGGATACCAGATGTCAACTGATCTAACCGAGATTTGTTTGAATTAAAACAATATCAGCAGGTTACAAGAGCAATACTTTTTAAGAAGACTGGACTCCACTACTAGGAATAAATGAACATGAGTAAAAGCTGGCTCAGGAGATGAAGGAAAAAATAATCTACTATCAAGGAAAAAAAGAAGCAATCAAAACCCAGGAAAAACAAAAGGTTTTATAACTAAGTCATAACTGAAATAGAAACGGAAGTGTAGCTTTATTTCTAGCATTCGGATGGATGCGAGAAAGACTATGTCTGATACTAACAGTTAGCTTGGAGGGGCACACAGGTCATGACATTGGCACTAGAGAGAAGAAACATAATCATGGCATGCTACTTGCTCTGTAATTAAATATATTTACATAGTTGTAAGTAAGCATTGTTCTCTGGTTTTCAGTTTTTAGAATCAACTTATAAACAAAGCCGAGGAAATCCACTGTGGTTACAGAGTAGCCAGGACTTGGAGAGAGAGGGGGAGTAGAGGAAACAGGCACCTTGCTCCTCCTCTTGCAGAAAGAGAAGTCAAATGAATCACTGGCTGTCAATAGGGTAGGAACTAAAGATTTATCTATAATTACAGCAGCCACAGAGAAAGAAACTAAAATGACAAAACCTTTGAAAACCTTGGAGGGAGTGGGAGACGTGAATTACGACTTCCCGGTGGATTGAAGCAGTAGATGATGTAGGCTAAGGTGGTGATCCAGGTAGGGCAGTATAAACATACCATTTGGAAAAGAGAAGAAGCCACAAGAACTGAAAACATCAACAGGCTTCGAGGCTGTCATCTGTGGGGCAACAGAATGAGGGCGGGTTTGGGCACAGGGGACAGTTCCTTCCCTTATAAAGTCTTGGGACAGTTATTACTCTAGCCAATTTGAATGTCAGTCCTAGAAAGGCATTTCAGTGCCATGCCATAAAAATACCCAAAACAACAAATACATAGACATCCAGGACAGGGAGTGGGGTAGAAAGAGTGATTTATCTCAAATCACACTAGAGGGTCGTGGCCGATGAAGGGCGGAGCTGAGGTTTGAACTCAGCTCATCTAACTCTAATTACACAGCTCACAGGGACTTCCTTGGGCAGGATAGTGTAGGTAGGGTGTTCCCATCATGGTCTTGACCTCTTTGCTCATATCACTCCTTCCACTCTTCAGCTGGACTTTGGGAGCTCAGCCAGAGCTCTGCTGTGGGTCTCTGCCTCTGTTTCCAACAGTTGCTGGATGAAGGTTCTATGGTGATATTTAAGATATTCATCAGTCTGACTACAGGGCAAGGGAATGAATGGCTCCTCTTAAGGACAAACTTGAATAGTGAACCAATATTATTTATGAGTTAAAATGTGTGTGTGTGTGTGTGTGTGTGTGTGTGTGTGAGAGAGAGAGAGAGAGAGAGAGAGAGAGAGAGAGAGATGCATTCCAAGAATGCATGAGGAAGTTGTTTGAAATAAGGTTTGTTTTCCCCTTTGCTGTCCTGATAAATTTGTTGTCGAGGAAAGGGGATTTGTTTTATTTTAATGTGTCATGGCATAGGGTTATGACAACAACAGTTATTTCTGAAGGCTATTGGTGGGTGTGGCATTACAATAAAGCCAACGATAGTGAGAAGCAGTGGGGCTCCTGGTCAGCCATGCTGGTTCCCGCTGGTTTGAAGTGGTCTTATGTCTTTCCTGTTCGAGTGGTCACGTCATGTCCTGCTGTGGCATGCTCTGAAGGCCTTTCAGCTCCCAGTCACTGACCCTCTGTCTTTTTCCATCAATGGACACAGGGGAGGGTGCTCCTGGCCTTATCTAGCCCTGTGTGAATCCTGCCTGGGAAACTGATTTTCCTGAAGATCTCGCCTGAGGAGCCTCACAGTTGCTATTAGAAGTGTTCAACGATGAGGAATGTTCTGGGTAAGGGATTCCCAGGCCTTGGGAAGCCAAAATTTGCACAATGTGAGATGTTTATATAAGCAACGTTATTTTTAAAAACTCCTAGTAGATTATCAGCTCTGTGAAGAAAAATACTGAAAGGACTTTAGCCAGCCCGGACCTGGCGAACAGGGCTCTGGCAGACCTTGCCTTCTCTCCCATTCCTTCTACCTTGCTAAGAAAAAAACCCTTAGATTACATTTCTCAAGCTAACAACTAAGGTTTATTCCCTTATTTGGCCAATCCCTCCTCCTGAGGCTGACTACCAAGGTTTAGCTATCAAAGTGTTGAAGTTCAGCAATCAAAAGCCCCCTTTGACTCAGCTAATTAACATACCCAATTAAAATTAAACACTCCATCTTAACTTGGGGTTTCCCCTTTACCTTTTAAACTGCCATTTTCCGGTGGTGCACGCCTTTAATCCCAATGCTTGGGAGGCAGAGGCAGGAGAATCCTTGTGAGTTTGAGGCCAGCCTGGTCTATAAGAGCTAGTTCCAGGACAGCTAGGACTGTTACACAGGGAAACCCTGTCTTGCAAAAAAAAAAATTAAACTGCCTTTTTCCTATGCAGAAGAGCCTTGTCTGCTCCTCTCTGTCCAGAGCCAGTCTTTTGTTCTGCCCTCTTCTGGGACAAATATGTCTTACCCCTTTCCCTTGCCCATTTTCTCCTCTTTCCCTTGTTCCTTCCCCTTCTCCTTTTTCCTCTCTTTCTTGTCTTTGTCTATAATTCCCTGCCCTTTGTCCCTCTGGGGCAAGTAAATCTCATTTGTGCTGAGAACTTGGCCTCAGGGATCCTGAGCTGATACTTTCCTTTCAAGTATAGCCTCGGGTTTTCTCTGAAGTAATAACCCTAACTCCAGCTAGAATGCAACACACACCATAAAGGCTCCCTAAAACTTCAAAGCAATGAATGAGCTCGTGGAGATAGGATAGGAAATTATCCAAAGACTGGCAGTAAGATGCCCCATGAAACAGCCTCTAGGAACCTCCCTAACCCTACAGTCACCATAGAGGCAGGCCATCAGTGTGGGGGCCATAGGGAAGACAGAAGGCAACTTGTAAGGGTCAGTCCTCTCCTTCCACCATGTGGGGCCCAGGGATCACGCTTAAGTCAATCAGGCTTGATGGTGAGCACCTTTCCCTGCTGAGTTATCTTGCTGGGCAGTCCTTCGTACGTTTGGACATTTTAAAGACAGGACTTTGCTATGTTGCCCAAGCTGACCTCAAAGTCATGCTGTTCCTGCCTCAGCTTCCTGGATTACATGTTGTTCCTGCCTCAGCTGGGATTAGAGGCATGCTTCCCCAAGCCTGGCTTTGGTGTTTATCTTTCCAGAAGTGAAAGTTTGAAGGTCAAATCTGACTTGTGTTATAACGTCGCCAGCTCTCCACGTTCTGGTCTAGACTTTGCAGGAAGTCACAGCTGTGCGGCTTGAGGATAGGGGTCTGAATCAATGTCTCTGTCTACACAGCTGGATAAACAGGCACAATCACTATCACTAGCTTCTAAACATTCGTGTCATCTGGGGTGCCAGACACTCAAAACAGCAGCCTTTGGCATCTCTTAAAATGGCCTTTCCATACCTAGAAGTTAGCATGAGAACAGCTCTGTCGGACTTGTGCCCAGCTGTACGTGGAACAGTCGCTTGACTGCTCATTGGTGGTACAGAAGTGTGTCCGAGAAGATGAGCTGTCAAAGTAAAAGCCCATTTTGGTGATGAAAGGAACGTTGTATCTCTAGCCCTAGCATCAAATTTTCAAACAACTCCATGAATCTGGGCTGGGAGGGGGGAAAGTCATCATGCAGAAAAAAAAAAACATTGTGAGAAGCAATCTAACACATAAACTTCTTAATGCCTCAAAATGAAGCTGAAATTAAATGCCACTGCTTTTGGAGGTGACTAATGCACAGCCTGGTCAAACCCAAAGCTCTTTAGTGTATAAAACTTTACAAATGAATCTATTCCATCACCAGGCAAAGTGTAACCAGACCGCATCTAGAAGGGTTGTCTAATTTCCGCTCAGGTCTCTGTTAAGTAAATACATTGCTGTATACTGGCATGGAATCTTGCTTAATTAAAGGAGCAGAAAGGTGGTTTTGGTTTTCAGGGGAGAGCTTTGGGGGATGAAAGAGTCATGAAAAGGGCAAGGATCTGTTATATAACCGAAACCCAGAAAGGCCAAGAGACTCAGGAAGAGGCATGCTGGCTCACTGCAAACATAGAGGCGGTGTGGGATCAGTGGTTTCTAGCACCATTGCCGGTATCTCGGGTACCAGGAATGGCACACAGCTTATCAAGTAGATGCTCAGTGTCTGTGATGATCAGCAACAGGTCCTCTACCCAGGGACCATTTTCCGGAGCATCTTTTATATCGATACTTTCTCAGAATAACTAAAACTGTAGACTTACTTCGTCCTCTGTGGTTCAGGACGGTGTCAATTGCAAACAAGACACCGCTAAAAAGAGAGGCATCCACTTGAGGCAGCCCTCACCTCGTTCCGTGTGTCACAGCTATTTCCCGAACCTGAGAGGGAAATGTACTATTTATGGAACATCAACCACTAGGTGCAACCACTAGAAAGAACTGGCCAGGGTGCTGTGGAGAAACACACAGGACTTACCAGGTGTGGTGTCTTCCACAGAGGTGAAAACCAGCAGGCTTCCATTTCTTTTCCGCTGCGGCCGAGGTTCTTTATTTCCAAAGATCCGCTTTGGGCACTTGGCAGCTGCCAAGTTGACCTGCAAATCTACTCAATTCCATTTCACAGTTCCTAAAAATGACTGTGTCCAGTTCCCCAGACAGGTGAGAGGGACATGTTTATAAGCAGAGCAGAACTCTGTAAGAAAAGGTTGAGCGAAATGAGTAGGAAGGACCGGAGAAAGCAGACATCCATCAGAGGCCGTTAGAGGCTGCCATTCCCCAGCTGCAAATGTGTCACAATCCTGCACGAGACCCTTCACCACCTGTGGGATGCACCGCTCCCTACCCTTTCAAGCCGCTACTGCCTCACAAGGAGTATGTGAGAACTCTGAACCCCACCGTTGATGAGCTCCAACTCTGGCCTCTGGAGAAATACTGCAACCACATTTTATATCTCTCCCCCAAAAAAAAAATCATTTTTTTGAGAACAAAATCTCCTTTTCTTTGATTGTTAAAAGCAATATCTGAATACTTGAAACATCTTTTCTCATATCACCTAATTTGGTGCACTGGGAAAAAAGGTCAAGAAAGAGAGAGATGTGAATGGGGAGTGGGGTGGGGGAGTCCTGCAGCTTGCTTGAGCATGTCCTGCAAGGGAAGCGTCCACCAGAAAAGACTCCTAAGGCACCATTTGAGTCAAGAGAAAGTCTTTATTAGCCAGCCTATGACTATCCCAGCCTTCAGGATCCTAGGATAGCCCTGGATTTTTCTTGGGGAGAACTTTGAAGCACAAAACCTGCATCCTGGGTTGACATCCCTCAGCTAGCAAGAACAGTTAACCAGAAGCAGAACTGCAGACACGAAAATATCAAGGTTGTAGTACTTTAAGAACTTTCCCAGACTGTGGGTGACGATGGATTGAGTCTTTGTGTTGCTGTCCACATGCTGGGTTCCGGGGCCCGACCAGGACTTTTGTCATTGTGTCCATTGTGCTAAGGTCTAGGGGCCTATTACACCGAACTTGATAATGCAGGGGAATTGGGGTCCTCCTTTGGGGAGTCTTAGTCTCATCAATAAAAGAATGTAGGAATTGACTCAAATAGAAACTCAGGGAATTTAATTAGAATTTGAAAGAAAACCCCAGGGCAGACAACCTGTAGAAATCTCAGGACTGCCTGGAGAAGAGGAACGGAGGAGAGAAGGAAAAAGGCCATGGAGTTTTAAATTGTCGCGGTGGCCAGGCACAAGGTAGATAAGCAACCACATGATGGGGAGGGGGGCTTTAAAGGAAGAGCAAGGAAGCCCAAAATGCTGTTATTGTTGTCGTTGTTGTTGTTGTGGGGGGGAGGGGCAAAGTGTTAGGGAAAACGTACTTAAGAAGACATGGAAGAAATGGAAAAGTTATGGTTTTCTCATTAATTCCATCAACCATTCAGAAATGTGGGAAGGCTTATAACCTACGTGGCTGTGGTCCATACGCTACTGAAGGCCTGCAAGTGGCTTCACTCAGCATAGGGATTCTGGGAAGTGAAGTACAGTCTTTCATTTAAGACTATTATCCTGACTCCCACTTCAGCCTTCAGGTGAACCCTCTTCTTAGGGATGGTCCCTTGGCCAAGTGAAGAACCAGGCTCAGCTAGGATGTCAGGTCTTCACTGAGGCCAAAGGTCCTCTTTCCTCAAGAAATCTTTTACCCTAGGGCCTCCCTCCCCAAAGGTAACCCTAAAATCATTTAGGAATCGGAGCAGAGCCCCAAAACATTTTGGCATCTCTGACCTCTGACAGGAGAGGCTGTCTAGAGGCCCACAGACTTCTCTGGTTTCGGCTCAGAAAGTGGTTCCTTTTCTTTGGTCCCACACCCCATCCCAACCAGTTGCCCGGACAATTCCTACCTTCTATTATCATCATTACTTCTCTTTGCCCATGCTAGAAGCTATTTTACACACTGGGACCCGCTCATTTCACAGAACCTTTCTCTAGTCTCTCCCGTCTTGCAGATTTCAAAATAAACAAGTTCAGAAACATGGCCCCGGGTCCCAGCTAACAGAATGGGAAAGCTCCTAGGCCCTCCTTTTGTATTACTGAGGGATGAGCTGCTCACAGGCAAGAGCCATGATTACACCTACCAGGAAGCTCTCCCACACACCTTACTGGGGAAACTCTGTGCCCCGGCTGTAAGGGGAAGCCTGATAGTCCGTGCCACTTGAGGAGCCCCTGCTTCTGGCCTGGTGGGTGTAGGGGGGGGCAGGGCCCTTCCAGGCAGAGCTCAGCACACCCACGAGAACCTGTGCAAGTCCACTCGGAACCTTGCTGTGGAATTACAGTATGCTCTGTTTCATGTCCCCTAAATTGCTTGCAGCAGGCAGCTGGGCTAGACTCTCTCAGGGGATCCTGAGATTCCAGACAGGGCAGGGGCTGGGAAGAATACAATTCACATACGCAGAACATCTGAGGAATTTAGGGGCTAAAAAGAGACACTTCTGGATGGGATGGCTAAGATTCCTGGGATCTTCAAAGGGGTCAGGAACTAGCTCAGCTCTGTCGAGGCACCGGGAACAGACCTTTCATAGGTCTCTGGTTCATCCAGCCCATCAGCTGTGCACAGATTTTATCCCAACATCCCCCGGGAACTGGGTACCAACAGCCACTAACTACAGGTGAGAGGAACTTGTCTCAAGTTTCTCAGCTTTGCTAACTCACGACTCAAGTAAACCCAGGCTCTTTGACCCAAGTGTGCAGGATTTTCACAATGACAGTATGTGACTCCACATGAATGAATTGATTCTGAAGCTAATGAGAACACCAGGACGGGGGTTTTCTGCATCTCATACCCTACCCATCAATGTTTGGGCCATCAGAATAGCTAGCTGAGTGTGTCGCCCCTACGGGAGAATACACAAAATGGGACTTGGATTTGAACCAGTTACATGAATTAATTCCTGTCTTGGGGGTCTGACAGCGACATAAACCAAGGAGTCCACAATCCCATGATGAAATTATATCGTTAAAGCCCTTGGCAGCTCAGTTATTATTTTAAGTAAAATATATGCATGGCTTCTGAGAGTTTCTCTTTTCCAGCAAACAAGGCGGGGGGTGGGAGAGAATATTAGTAATGGCTAGAGTCTCTGCAGTCATTCCGGTATTTATCTGACTTTATTGATAGGACAGTTGCTGGCTTGGAAGTGGGAAGGTAAATAGTCTCTGGTAGGAAACAATGTTCACACCTACCACTCAACCATGCAAATGAGGGGACTCTCAAACCAGCAACCTCCAATCACAGCATGGGGCACACCAACATTCCTGGCACGTCTCTCCCCAAAAGAGAGCCTGGCGCGCGTTCCAGGGAATCTTCTCAGAGCCCACATCAAAGGCTGTATCAGTCTCTGTATTTGGGACTTCTCCTTTGCAGCAGTCGTTCTAACGTGGAGTGGGGTCAGCCAGGGCAAATAACAAAACATTTTCTCCAAAACGCCATAGTTGGAATTCCCTCCTGGGCCTGGGCTCCTACCACCACCCCCGTACACACGTTTCCCAGCCCCACAGTCCTCTGGGCCCGTGCCTGGTAGGTCCCCACCCTTCCACCTGCGGCTCACCGCACTGCCCAGCCCAGGCATGAAAGAACTTTCCTCTGCAGAGAGGGACTGAGCCTGCGACACGCCCTGGCTATCTATAGAACATCCCTCTGGGGCTTCTGCTGACAAGTCACTCGAGAGCCCTCCTTGGGCTTTATTATGTCACAGGAACCCTGGCTGGAATGCTGAGGATTAAATTCCAAGCCCTTCCCTTCGACTGGGCCCCTAGGAAGGGAGCTGGGAAGGGAGTTACCATCTGGGCTCTCCGGCGCCGCCTACTGAACATTTTTGCCTGGGTTCAGAGGACCCCGCCTCCTAAAGGTATTTGCCCTTGTCATCCATCCCCGGGATGTCTTTGAGTGGTAAGAACACAGATCTAGCATTCAGATCGACTTTAATTGCTGTTTCTCTTTGTGAATTCGGGCAAGCCACTCATCCCATCGGGCCTGATTTCCTTACCCAAATAATACCGGAGGTGCCAGGGAGAGGAAGTCCAGCACTAGATCAAAGCAAGAAAACTGCCAAGTTTCTTAAACAGACTGCCCTGCGTTCTCACCTGTGATGCAGATGTCTCACCGGTGAGTGCCACAGATGTCTGTGGTGAGGATGCAAAGTGGTTTCTAACGAACAGAGGTCACCTATTATTGTACTAACGATCTTGCCAAAGAACTGCCTTTGAATGTTGTTTCGACATCCCAAAGCTGTTTGAGCATATGCTTTGAAAACACCATGAGAGTTGGCAACATGTGTTCTTTTTTTTTTTTTTAAACTTCATTTAATGATGCTAGGGACTGACCCCAGGGTCTTGTGTATACTATTTAGATACACAGTTACACTCAGTTACATTCAGCTACAGCCCAGCCCTGTGGGTAACACACACTGCACATTTATAAATAGCCATTTTACTACGGGCTTTGCTGTTGTTCTTTCTTCCTCCCTCCCTTCCTTCTCCTCCTCTTCCTTCCTTCCTTCCTTCCTTCCTTCCTTCCTTCCTTCCTTCCTTCCTTCTTCCTCCCCCTCTTCCTTCCTTCCTTTTTTCTTTCTTTCTGACAGTGTGGAGACTAAATTCAGCTACTTTTGTTACATTCCAGATCTGGCTGAATTTTTTTTTTTCCATTGGTCTGATATCAGAAGCAGCTCTGGGAAACAAGTTATCTCTCTCTGTTCTTTAGGGGTGAACCTCTTGAGTCCTAGTGACCTGTTTGAGTCCAGGTAAAGAGCTGTGGGTGACTGAATAAGCATAGACCTTCTTCTCTGTCAGGATTTCTAGATTTTTATTTTGATTTTTTTATGTATATGAATGTTTTGCCTGCATGTATGTCTGTATTCCACGTTTGTACATTACCCTCTGAAGCCAAAATCCCCTGGAACTGATGGTTCTTAGCTGCCATGTGGATACTGGGAATTGAACCCAGGTCCTCTGGAAAAGCAACAATTCCTCTTAACAGATGAGCCATCTCGCCATCCCTGGATTCATTCTTTACATCCTTGACCTCCCTGTGCCTGCCGTGGACATATTTGTCTGTTTCACGGGAAGAGATGCCTGGGGGAAGGCATTATGCACGTTGTCACAAGTCCCTTCCAGATCTTTCCACGAGATGATGATTTGAAGGAGGGATTGAGGAGTCATGTCCAATGGGAGCCTGAACCTCCCTGAGGCCATCCTGCTTCCCAGACAATGAGCTGAGATTCTGGGGTACGGAACACTTTGGATGCAAGCCAGGAGCCCAAGGAGGTTCTGGTCATTACGAAAAGGCCACTTGTGCCGTGATGAGTTAGAGGCTCAGAATGTGTTAGGTCCCCCTGAGCCTTTCAGTGAGCATGTATGTATGTTTACAGTCACACAGCCTTTCCCTCTGTCTGTCTGTCTGTCTGTCTGCCCCTCCCACCTCTCACTCTCTCTCCCACACTATATTCTCTCCCCTCTCTCACAATACAGCATCACTAGTTTTCTACCTTAGCCTAGTATATGAAACATGGAAACAAATAATAAATTATGTCTGTGCCAATGGGGCGTAGAAGCCGTAACTGTAAAATACGGCCCAGGGGAGAGGAAGCTTCCAGAGCCTGTGCCAGAACACCTCAATGTCATTGCCAACGGCATTATTTCATGACCCCAGGAAGCTGGCAGGGCTGTAATTTCTGGAAGAGCAACTTTGTCTTTTTCTTTTTTCTTAAACATCCAATTTCTCTTCCTTTAAACAATGTGAAAGTTTCCTCATGAAAGTATTTTTGAAAGCAGATTCCCTCTGTTTGCGCCAAGGAGAGAAGGCTTTCATGGAATGTAGGAATTCCTGACCGTGGGATTTTAAGAACTGCAACTTTCATGAAATGGACCTTCACACGCTTTTCTCTGAAGGCCTCTAGCAGGTACAGACCTGGACTTAGGTGGAAAACCCTTCTAGTGCCCATGATTCTCACACAGACCCCATGCATGGCTCTCACATAGGCCTCAGCCTCAGAAGTAACACCACGCATGGACTATATCCAGTGGTCTACCTGTGGGGAAGGATTCAACTCCTGAGGGTGTCACTCCCGAACAGTTCACCAGGAATAAAGAATTGAAATTTTGAAGTTTGTGCTTTACACCATCTTTCCAAAATGAGTTTCCTACTAAAATTTCTAGTTTATGTAAAGTAGAATACAGTGAGCTCTTTCTCGTGGATGCAGTTTCACTCGAGGGTTTTTGTTTTCTTTTCTGTTTGTCTCTTAATTTAATTCCTGTGGCCAGAGAGATGACCCTGCAGTCAAGAGCACTCACTAATCTTGTTGGGGATCTGGGTTCTCACCAGGCAGCTCACAGCTGTAACTCTAGTCCCAGAGGTTCTCCTGTCCTCTTCCGACCTCCTTGGCGCCTCCGTGGTGCTCATACACACAACTAAAACCACTCTGTCCCTGGAGCCTTTATCTGTGGGCTTCTGCGTTTGCCTCTCCAGCGCTTGCTCACTGGAGGAAGAAGGAACCACAGGCAGGAAGCTCAGACAGCCATCACCCTCCCCGGGGTGAGTATCGAAATTCAGAGGTGAGCTTTCTCTGGCACCTGGAGAGAGCTGGTAGTCTCTGTGAGAAAGATGGATTGGACCAAGGAGGAATCACTGGGGTTGAGAGATGAAGAGAAGGAACTCTTTAGGTGAAGGGTGGCCCAACCCAAACACAAGGAGCAGCAAAGTGGAGGTAGCCAGAGATGTTTCAGAAAGATACAGGCAAACAGAAGGATGGATAGAAGCCATGGCAGAGCAGGGAGTGGAAGGACTGTTGTTGATCGGCTTGTGTAAAAAACCAAAGCGACCCAGACACTAGAGAGCCCGCAGAGTGACCCCAAAATCACTCAGCTTCCACAGGCAGGGAACAGGGATGTCTCCAGCAGGAGGGAGACGCTGGAGGAAATTAGGACCTTTCAGAATGGCTTTGATGACCCCAGGCCCAGCAGCTGCCAAGACCAGCCTGGTAGCACAAAGCTAAGGAACCCCAGGAACAACAGAGGCAGTGCTCACCTCTGAAGACCTTGGTGCGAACCCGGCTCTGATGGAGCTGGGCTGTGTCGGGGGCTCACTCTGCCACACATGGGTAACATGCCAGACACTGTGCCCAGCCCTTGCCAGACACCTGCCCATTCATCTTCACAGTGGCCTCCAAGGCAGAGAACTCGTTCACGCAGAGCCAATGAGGACAGATTGGTGTGGGCAGTCCAGCAAGGCACGAGAGATGAATCTTAGGTGACATTTAAGCTCAGGTCTACAGTCCTGACTACAGAGGAACCCCTGTGCTGAGGGCCAGACCCGCTCACTCATTGCTTGTGGTATCAGTCGCTAATCTGCACATTTAGAAGGTATGGGAGGTGTGTTCTTCCCGTGTTCAAGCCTATGTAGTCTCTCTGTGAGGTTCTTTTTTTCTCATTTTGAATATGGGGGCACAGAGAGTCTGAATGACCATGTAAGCCACACAGTAAGAATAGGAAAAGGCTAAATACCAGGTAGACCGTATCATTCCACTTCCTGTCTGTGGGCACCCATGTGAATGAGGCCCTTTACCTAACTCTCTTCCCGATGCAGAAGTGTGCCCACTGAGGACACCCTCGGGAGGGAAGGCAAAGGACGACTCCACTGATGTTCCCTAGGAACAAAAGGCCAGACGTGGCAGGGCAGGGTTATTCTGTGACCTTCAGTTCTATCTAGGAGCATTGGATTCCTTCCTTTGGAGGCACCTCTGGTCCTAGGGAGAGGCCACTGGAGACCCTTTAGAGCACTTAGTTAGGGGGATCTGGGAAGTCTGAGTGTTAGGGTGCAGTTCATGAATCAGTGAGACGACTCATCCAGCTACCCGGGTGTCTGAGACATTTCTCATTTTTAATTAAAAGTTCCTCATGCCAGGACAGCAGGGATCACAGGCAGGCGGCGGTGAGTGGAGCAGAAAATCTCCGTCCCTCGGGGAGGATCTGCAGGTAGCACTCGGCCTGCTGAACCCTGCCGTGTTTGGTTCCTCTTCCTTCAGTGACGATCACAGCAACAGAGTGTCGTGAGAACTATAGATGGATAAATAAAACCCTGGCTGAGACCAAAGCCGGCTAAGCCTACAGTTAGAGAGAATCGCTACCCTGGAAGGAAGCTGACGGGACCACGTCAAGTGTTCCTCGGGGTGTGTGGAGAAGCCAGTGTGGCCTCAGGCCCTCCTGGATGGCTGTCACCTCCAGTTCATAGGTCATTTTCTCTGCAGCCGTCACAGCTTCTGTGAGTGGCAGTGGAGATGGCGGCCCCGTCAGGGGTGGAAGGGCTCTATCTCTGAGGTCATGGCTTCCAGTCTGACCACAACACTTTGCAAAGGAGGCACGAGGTTCCTCCAAGGTGAAGTCACACAGTCTGAGAGTTCCTGGGTGTTTCTTTGAGGAATATTTATAAAAATCAGACTGGTCATCGAAGAGGAATGCGGGCGAAGGAGCAGCCGCAGCCAAGCTCAGTGAAGTCAACCGAGTTCCAGATACTAGTTCTGCTCCTCCCACAGACATGACCTCATGCTGTCCTGACGCTACTCTGATAAGATTAGACCAACAGAGCCTGCAGTTCTCACAGGGAGGGTGCCAGAGCCTGCAGAAGTGAGGTGGCGGGGCTGAGGTCACGTTGGAACTAGCAGAGTTGGTCTCAACCACTGCGGCCGCAACTCCCATCTTCATGGCCTTCTAACAAGGCACATAAGTACGGAAAGATGGCAAAAATGAGCCAGCGCCTACCTCACAGGATATTATCTTAGCATTAAAAAAAAAAATCACTGTAAACCCGATGTCAGAATACAGCCAAGGTGTTTAATGAAAATGTCATGCTTAGAGCTTAAAATGTGCAATAAAAAGAAGGAAGCGGACAGCTTAGGCACTAACAGGTGCGGGATACCGTGGGAGATTGTCATTTTTTGCTTTTTCCCATTTGAATCTTCTGCAGGGTGGTACAGGGGCCTTCTGTAACAAACAAGTGGATGCAATTATTTTTCTTTAAAGTCCTCGCAGTACATTTTTTAAATCAATAAGAAAAGGGCTGGAATGAATAGGTGGTCTATTTCCCTTTCCCTGGCAATAAAAACTAATAAGACATTGGTCTGCAGCAGCAGATAGAGGCTGGTCCCCCAAACCACACTTAACCCAAGTGTGTTCACTTTTCATCAGATGCAACAAAAATGAAATCCAGAGAGTTTGAACTTGGAAGCCACCCCAGATTTTTGCCTTGTACCTTCCAGTCTATTAATAGAAGGAGGTAATCTTGCAATGTTTACCAGGATAATGACTAGTCAGTCATTCTTTCTAATGTCCACCAATGAGTTCCATCCAACACAGGCTCTCTCATGGCTCATGGAGTTGCTGGAAGGTTCCTTACTATCTGCCCACTCACCTTCCATATGTGCTCAGACACAGAGAGCTAACGTCATTGGCTCAGAGACTCGTGAATTTTAATATTTAAATGTCAAATGTAAACTTGTAACTTCTAAATCTCTTGGGTTCTGGTACGAATATCAGCACTCAGGGCTAAGTACGTCCTCTCTTAGGTGAGTTAAACCTTCAGTGTTGAAAAGCCACTGTTTGTACAGTGAGGACAGGGGAGTTAGCTCGGAGAAACCCCTTTTGTCTACAGGAGGCCCTAGGTTCTAGCTCAGCACCTCAAAACAACCAAATAAAACACACAGTGTTAGAAAAAGTAGCTCACACCCATAAGATTCTATGTACCAAGTAAATACACTAAAGTTCTTGTCCCTTAAATTAACCCTTTTCTATTACTTTACTTTTTGTCTTGCTGCTTCGTTACCTCATCTCTGTATTGTCCATCCTGTTTCTCTTCCTCTGGTTGGCAACTCCCCACACAGCTGCTAGAGATGGATGAGTTGCCATCTTGGAAGAGTGACATCAGCCCTTCTTCTTCCCAGAGTCCTCTGTGCCCTGAAAATCCTGCCTAGCTATTGACCGTTTAGCTTTTTATTAAACCAACCTGAATGACACAGTGTACAAAAGGATTATTCCACAACAATAAAGCAAAGAGATGCATTTATCCCCCAGTTCTGGACGTTCAGGGCATGTCTCTGGCACTGACTCAGCTCTGGTAACTGTCTCGTGGCAATGGGATCACAATGAGGGGGAGCAGGTATGAGAAGGAGATTGCAGATTGAGGCCGGGAACCAAAAAACATGAAGGGGCCAGTAATGGCTTCCCACTAGGCCCCACCTTTCGAAGATCCTCCCACCTCTTAGCTTAACTATGCTGAGCCAACTTCCCATCACACTTACCTCTGAGGAGCGCACGCTGCATCTGTCTAAACTATGACAGACAAGCACTACTTTTAAATAAAGTTGGGTTCAGCTGTGCTCAGCACTTACCCAACAAATGCATCTCAGGTCTCAGACCTGTGCAAGATGTGACAGGGTTGGGATGTGGAATTCTTCTCCCGTGTAGTGTCTGACCTCAAAAGCATCAAAACAGCCCAGGAGGCTTTGCCTTTAAACCAGGAGGTTCTAAGGAGGGGTAAGCAGTGCTATTGCTGTAGCTCCGTCAGGTCAGAGCAAACATTGCTGTGACTGTGTTTTCCAGCGTTCTAAAACAATTTGTATTTTCCACTGTCTAGCAAAGTGAGCCTGAAGCCCCTCCCACTGAATTGTACCATTGTTAAAAGATCCTTGGGTCTGGAGAGATGAGTCTGTAGGTGAGCGTTTCCTGTTCTCACAGAGAAACCAGAGATAGTTCTCAGCATCCACAACATCCGTAACTTCAGTTCCAGGGGATCCAGTGCCCTCCTTGGGACTCTGCAGGTACCAGTCACATATGTGGGTACATGTACATACATGTAGGCAAACATTCATATACATAAACTGTATATTGGGGGGGGTACTGGCTGAACTCAAGGTACACCGTCTAAGTCACCCAGTGAGCAGAACCAGGGAAACTGTATCAAAAGGAGGGGAAAAGAAAGGAACACACAAAAGGGAAGGGAGTAATAGGAAGACTGAAAAAGGTGAGCTTTGGAGCCAGTTCATCTGCATCAGAGCCTTGGCCTGACCTGTCTCTGGCTGCATGACCCTGG